GAAAAGAAAATTTCCATTCAGCAGAACTGAACACAGAATATCAACTAACTTGTAATGCATGATAATGAGCAGAAAAAAAAAACAGAGAACTACAAACAGTAATAACAACTCTCACCTTTTTTGATACAAGGCAACACCAGATTGCCATTAGGCAATGTGAGTGTATAAAATGCCACTACACTACTATTATCTAATTATACTAATATGATACCATTCTTTATGTGATAATTTTTTTTACATACTTTTCACCCCATTCTCCCTTTTATCAGATCTGGTTAAACACAAAAAAAACCACAAAAATAAAAAAAAAAAATTCTTTCCTTTGTCTATTGAGCATGCTTGGAAAAAAGCACCAGGTGGCAATGCAGTGTTCAAGTATTTTATACTATATACGTGTTACATGGAAAAAAATCTGTAGCGATCAGCATGAGGCTCTTTCCTAACCTACTTCCTCTTTGATGAATATTAAATAATTCATAAGCAAAAACTCTATTCACCACAAGTGATCAAATACCACTCAACCTGAAAAGAACAGACTTTAAGAAACGTGAGTTTCTAAGGATGTAAAACCATATAGCTAAAAAAAAAAAAAAAATAATCACTTTATTTAGGACTATGAAACAGGATAATTTCAGGAAAAATCACTGAAAGGAAAACATTTAGAAATGCATTACCATAAAGTTATCAAAATACTATTAAAGACTGAACTTAGCAATTAGTTGCTAGATAGTCGGCAGACTGCACAAACAATACATCTACACATTTTTACGCATTTTGTAAATTTATATGAAGTTTGGCATCATGTTAAATACCAGGCATTATTTCCCACACTTTTGAGGTTTAAGACCATTGCAGTAAAACCATGTGCTGAATGAATCAAAGTATGAATGCTTTAAGTATTTATTCTTCCTTTGCATCAAGCAGGACATAGTGATCAAAGACAGGAATTGTTTCATGAAGCAAGACGCTTTCAGATATCTCAAAAAGCCAAGAAGTAATGCTAGAATCAGCTTCCCATTCAGTAGATTACATCTGATATCCACTGTGTGCCAAATTAAAGTTCATCTTTGCAGTTACTGTTGCAGGCTCTGAAACCTCTGGAGAAGCTCATGGGGACTTCATTGAATAGCTAAAATGTACAATTAGCAAACATTACATCTACTCTGACATCAGTGGCTGGAACAGCAAAGCTTAAGGCAAAGGATGTTTTCTTTCTTTTTTTGAGAAGAAAAAAACTATAACTTTTAGAGTTGTAATTTCAACCACAATTGACAGGAAAAGTTTAGGTGTGAATAAGACCAATTTAGTTTTTTTTATATGTGGATATTAGAAGAAATTTCTTAAATCATTTATATTTAGCAATGGAATTGCTACTGGAACTGCTTACCCAACCATTCTTATGTAACAAACAATTACACTCCTAATGTAAAATAAATCCACTGCATGTTAAGGAGTAATTTGAAATGGTTCATTGCATTACAGAAATTATTTAAAATATCAACTGGAAAAAAAAAAAGCATCTTCTGAGAGATAGAAGCAGAATCATGCATACAAGATAATGTGCTAAACAGGTACATCACACAGTTATGAACAAGCTAATTTAAAGCATGTTTTCCTGCTAATGTAATAAATATTTGATTAATACTCTTCACTTTATGCCCTGTACTGTTATATTTAACTGATAAATAGCACAAAGTGGTAGAATGATTCAAGACCTGCCTTTATGTAACGTTATTTAAGTGCCTTTCATAATGACAGCTCTCATGATCAGAGATTTAATCCAATGAGCACAACCTAGACTATCTCTTGTAATGTTTTTTTGACCTGCTTTTCAATCAAAAAAAAAAAAAAAAAAAAGAATACTAGATTGATACTGTTTACACATACAGCTAAATCTTTGATATAATGTCAGTCCTAAAAGCCAATAGACTGTCAGAGCTGTTATCCATTTTTAGAAATAAAACCAGGAATTGAGTCTGTGAAGTATTCCACATGACTTTATGAAGGTAGGTTCTCATGTTCTTGACAGATCAGAGAAGTGGTTGGAAGTGTATTTCTAATGGAAGGAGAAACTCTTACTAATCACTATCATTTTAGTACAGTTGATAACAAACTTAGAGCTGAAGCACTCTACTAGGAAAAATCTAAATGACAGTATACAAAATATGTATTTCGAAGAATAGAACTCTTTTTAACATAAAATAATGAAGTTAAATACATAAAGAACACAAAATCTGTGTTTTCACGTCTGGTGCTTAGAAATAAATTCAACATAAGTGATGAGAAGGAATAAGTCACAATTCAGATAACTATTTAGCATATTAATGCAACAACTTCTTTAAATATATTCCTTTTAACAGAAGAAAGTGCACAAAAGTAAGACATCACTAAAAGGTTTATACTACTACTCCCTGTTTATAATTATATCATCTCATAAGTATAAAAATATGCCAACATCTTTATTTTGCTATTAATTGTACTTTAATGCTGACATTTCAAGGATGAAGTAAACTCACAAGTAGAACTAACTAAAGAGACTTAACTATGTTGTCACCACCCTCTGCCTCTGGTTAACATGTTAACAAAACTAGAGTTCTGTTTTCCAAGTTGATTTTTCCTTCCTGCTTCCAATTACATGCTGCATCACGTGCAGGAAACCGTTTCTATTTTCAAAGTACAGATAAGTGCATCTTATTTTGCTAAAACTTCTGTTAAAGTTTTCTTTGTAAAAACACTTCTGGATTGCTGAATAGGCCTCATGAGCATCCAAAGGAGGGAAAACAAACCAAACCAAACCAAACCAAAGGACAACAAAAACAACAAAAAAAAAACAAACTAAGCAGCAACACGTTATTATATTCCACCTACTTCTGTGCAAGTCCGATCTCAAGTCACTACATGACATGACCAAAGGCAGCAGGATTTGAGATTTCAGAAAATCAGCTTTTTCCTTTGCACTTACATTATGATAATCAACCCTCTTGGTGATACAGCTAATTGAAACTATATACAGGATAAGCAGATCTCACGTGATAATATCAAAAACCCCATGTTACATTTTACTGTAGTAAGGCATTATCCAAAGATTTCCATTACAGTTTTTCCTTTTTATGACAGCATCAGTATGAGAATACATTCTGTACATCTTAGAAAGTAATGTATGCTCTTTCTCTTGCTGTTATTATAGCAACTACATTACTTTACCAAACAAAAATTAAAATGCATATTTACTGCTCTTCCTTGCATTGGTTAATCAGAGGAAGACAATACAGACAAAAATGATGAAAAAAAAAAATGCAAAAAACCAGCCCAAGTTCTTATTATTGTCACATTCAAGTAAAGGTAACTGATGACTGGCTATTTTTTGGTTCCTTAAAAATGGATGTCATTGTGAAATTTACTTTAAGATAATCAATAAAGTTTATACTAAATTTGGATTAAGAGGCCTCATCTTAAATTTACAAGTATTAAATATTAACCAAACAGAACCTCCTCACCCAGACACATTGTCCTGGGTTCAGCAGTAGCAGTCATGTTTTTTCCTTTGTGTTAACTGGTGCAGTGCTGTGTTTTGACTTCTAGTTTGAGAACAGTGTTGGTGAACCAACTAGAAGTCAAAACACAGCACTGCACCAGTTAACACAAAGGAAAAAAACATGACTGCTACTGCTGAACCCAGGACACACATTCAAAGGATATCTGTGATATCTATCTAGGCTTCAACATCGTATTACAAACACCTTTTGATGATATCATGATATAGAGATCACCAACTCCTTTGCTTGCACACACTCCGTAAACTCCAGTTTTCTTGAATTTAAATATATTCTAATCTCAAGCCGTAGTTTATAGTGGTACTTACTTGCCTTCCCTCCATCTACATTTCCAGTCACTACAATATTGAACATATAATCAGTTTTATAGTATTATTACAAATATAATCCATTGAAAATACAAGATATGATTTAAGCTGTTGTCCAGAATGTATGAAGACCTATGTCCTCCCTAAGCACCAGTTTACAACAACCAACACCATCTGGAAACAAATTTAAAGAAATACAAAAAGAAATCAGAGCCAGACTTGTGGAACAGTACAACAAAAGCTACCTAAACCATTCCAATGCCAAAACTACTAATAACAACAAACCTAATTAACTAATTACAACAACATGGGATCAAGACACCCATTAAGGATTAGTGTCTTTTGGTGCCAAAGAGCAAGACAGTTTAGAGCAGCAACATCCTGCTTTTTTTTTTTTTTATTATTATTATCCAGTGAAAAGTGAAGGAATGAAAAATCAGAATTTCAGGGTCACAGACAAAAAAAAAAAAAAAAAACCTATTCAATTGTCTCAATATTGGTGTTCCCTTCATTTATATATGAAGATAATTATAGTAACAGTATGAAAGATGTTTGGTAAACATGGCAACCTCTGCTTGGTTTCTGAAAAACTGCCTGGTTTTTCTTTGTTGAATTAAACTCTTCAACCACGTATCAAGTAGCCCTTTCAAAAATATATTTTGTTGCTCACTTTTCATGGTTATTAAATTTGCTGTGCTCAATCTCTTTGTTGTATTACAAAAAACAGTAGCCTAAACCAAAACTGTATTATCTGAATTTCCAAGAGATTCTTCACAATAAAGTATATAGTCAAACAGCTAATCTAGTAGCTCACACTAACAACACTGACTGCAACAAAGTCTTTTAAGTAAGTTAAATAGTTCTGGAAATAACTTTCCTTCAGTAGATGAATGATAACATTGATTTCACATTAAGTATCTGATTTTAACATATTTGGGGTTTTTGCATCAAGTTTACACACCATAATACAGTCTGAAAAGATACAGAAGCTACTAAATATTTTTGCTGCAGAGTTTGAAATCCTCTTAATTTTGTTACAAATCACTGTAACATCTCAGTTTATATTTGTACTTCTTCGTATGTATTAAGCACTTTGTTCCAAACAACACAGTAACCACAGAGATAGAGATTTACTTACCTGATCCCCTTTTGGTCACAACCTTCAAGCTCTGAGTTACAGTAGCATACAAGACAATCAAGTTGGGAATAGGAACTTTCATCTTCTGTCTTTCTGTGACTGCTTCCTGGAATATCAAAAAGAAGAAAGAAACACTGGTTTTATATTGGCATTGAAACAACCTTGAAGCAACTAATGATAATCCTGACATTGTGCAAATGTTGAATATGTGTTTGTGAGCAATTTAATGCACAAAAAATTATCTACTGTTCCTGACAAAAAATATGTAAACTAAAATCACCATAAAACAAACACATGCACACACTACATTTAATGTTGGTGCTTAAGTTCGAGTTTTATCTACTCATCGAAAATTCACTGGGTCCTGTTAAAACTTTCTAACAGATCTCCAGAATGAAACAGTTTTATCAAATTATTCGATGAAAAAAGTGTGATCATTCCACTAAGCCTGCAAAATAACGTCTAACTTTTTTTTTAATCATATAATCTATTTCCCCCACCCCAAACAGGAAAGAGAAAATAATGCCCTTATTCATTAGTTTTGCTTCCATTTATTTATTCCATAGATTGAGCACAAGAATCACAATGAAATGAAAAATTAATAAAAAGCAAATCTGGTCATCTTCTTAGGAACAGTGAAATGGGAAAAATAAGAGAGAAAGCAAAAGACACTCCCACAGATGTAGCAGAGACTTCCTTTTAGATGAGCTGAAATCCCATGAGCAAGTTCAAACTAACACTAAATTAGAAGACGATGATATAAGGATGGGAGAGAGGTGAGTCACAGGATGTGGCTCATCCTTCACCTCTAATATGTTATAACGGATGGGAACCTAGCTTTGATTCCCACTCATGACAGGGACACACAACAAAGTAAGGTTTTTGTCAGTGTATTTGGCAGAGTATATATGTTTATGCTCCTCAGAACCGTTTGTCAGAAAGAGGCAGGAAAACACAGGTGTGCAACTGTTCTATGACCTTCTTACACCAGGGTGCCTGGCCAATGTTCTTGGTATGAACAACAGCAAGATAATGAGAAACTGCATGCTCCCCCGCGAGTGAACAATTACAGATCTGGCATAAAGCCAGTAGTTTTTCTAAGGATATAAAAGCCGGATCCTCCTGTAGCCAAATCCAAAACCTCACCTATGGGGGAATGCACCATGCAGGCATTTTCCCAGTTACCTGATACTCCTAGCACCAGCTGCAATGGGGCTTAATAGCTTGAATTGTGGGACTGGATGATGATTTGGAAGTAACTGGTGATGTATTTTTTTCTTAATCACTATTCTCTCTATGCAGTAAATATTCAATGCATTGCTAATTTTCCTCTGTGCTATACATATATGTACCTCTGATTCGCTTTACTGTGCTTATTTACTCTCTCTATATATACACATATATATCTGATTCGCATTAGTGTGCTTGTTTGTTTTAGTGTGCTTATTTGCTTTAGTGTGCCTGTTTAACAAACTGTGCATATTATATGGCTAGTGTGTGGTTGGTTTGTTGAGTACCCTGCCTTTTAGCAGAACAGATGTGAATAAAAGTTTTGCATTTCTATTACTTGTGTCCTCTGAGGATTGGGTGGTATCAGCAACTGGTGAAGAAGGGAATAAACTTTCTGTTAATTCCTCATACAACCAGGAGGGTGTCATCTATTCATGATGATTATAAGCTTTGTTCTGAAATGGCTGATAAGACTAACATCTCACATTTCAATGTATTGAAAGGGGAAAGGGAGGACAAATCTTCTGTCTAGTCAAGCTAGACAGTAGAGGCTATCTATAGTCATTACAGAATTTTATGCAAAAATATTCTTATCTAATGGGAGAAAAAATGGTCTGTGATCAATGTTTTTTTAGTATTACAAATAAAGACTCACAAAACTAATGTTTTTCATATTGACCTCTGTTAATCACAGCAGCATACAGCAACAAAAATTTCTTAAGAGGAACCACGTGGTACAGGATTTGATTTCAAAAGAGACTATGAATCTTTTACACTTTCACTGACAGTCAGGTTACTGAGTACCGAAGATATTTTTTTTTTGAAAGCAGTAGCTTAAAATACCTTCTTCTTAGAAAAGAACAGGTTAGAAATGAAATAGTGGGGGTGTAAAAGAGCACATTATGGGAAGAATTACTTAAATAATGACTTCATACAGAATCCATCTTCTAGCTTTATGTTTCAAGACGTTTGAGAACTAAATGCAAACTTACTGCATTATGACTTTGTTGAGGATGAGAGAGTGGAAATACAGTCTGATGACAACAGTTTGTGATATCTTACTTTATATAGCAATATTTATACTCATAGAAGAACATACAAGCATGAATATGTTTGCTTATTCATTGGCTGTAAACAAACTAGCATTTCAGCATCACAGATGAAGGTCTATCATTTACCTACATCCATGTGCAACTGAAGAAACGCTAGGCAACAAATTGCCTACCAATGTAGCAATTAAAGTGTGAAATATCCAATTACTGTGAGTTAAATTACGCGTATGTTAACATTTTGAGTTAAATTTAAAATTTAACTAAGTCTCATGATCACTGGCAATTATAAATAATACGAATCCTTGGAATTTTAGAAGCTAGAAATGAAGGTTCATTTTCCAGGGGCACAGTTAGTAGATATTACCAAGTGTTATGCCACATTTTACTGCAGACCTGAGTCAGACTTCCTGAAGTCAAAATCTCATTTCTCAGTCACTGCACTAACTGGTGCTGCAGGGAATCCTGAAGTTGGTACCTTCAGCCTCCAGGGTACTAGCAAGAATCAGCTCTTTGCTCTGTATAAGCCTAATGAACACTGTCCAAAGAACCACAGGATCTCACTATACAATTACAAATTCACTAAATAATAGGTTCTTACTGTGAAAGCAGATCCACACACACCCTTTTGGACCATATATCAAAACACAATATTGCAGATTACTGTGACAGAAATAAAAAGGCATGCATACATACCTACACATATATGTGTGTATATATATGTGTGTATTCATATGTATTTAGACGTATTTTTCTGTGAAACCATGCAGTAGCTATAAAGCTTGAAGTTACCAAAGAAAGCCTCAGTAAATACAAATTTATCAGTAAGAAACAGTTCAGTCAATTAAATTCTTCTCCTGGTCCATGCATATATCATTCATTTAACTTGTCAACAAGAAGAAATATATTTATTACAATGGTATAGTATGGATTGCATTTTAAACATGTGACACCACTATGGAAGCCATTCTCATGTACATTTATTCCCAGAGATTCAGCTCTAGCTTAAAGGCATAAGCAAAATTGGCTGTTGCCTACATTGCTTGCGGTAAATCCCTAGAAAATAAAGTCTGCTACTGTCTTTGAGATATGAGAAAACACTTAACTGCTAATGGGGATTTAAAAGGGGAGGGATGGTTCCCAGCAGCAGCTACTGACTCCTTGCAATAATACAAGCAACAAGTAAGATCTTACATAGGCTCTTCCCAGAGTTTTCCAACCCTTCTCTCCTGCTTCCATTCCCTTTTCCACAGTAAGAGAAATTTCTTTTCTGGTCTTTTATTCAGTTAAGAAAAGTTAAAATCAAAAGTTCAAACAAACAAAACAGAGTCAGCAGTCAGTAAAGCGGAGGGAGCTGGTGCCTTATGACTTTGGAAGTTGTCTGAGAGGTTGGAAAATCTGCTTCACGTCATTCATATGACTGATTCAAAGCAGACACTTAACATCTCATGTCCCCTGTTCCAGGTGAGTGCCTGAGCAACTGACTATTCTAGAAAATGTCACCCTAGTGAAATTGGTTGTAAAAACAAAATAAGCAAGTCAGAAAGGAATAAAAATAACATCCCAAGGGGGATCACACAAGTCCACAGAAAATGCCTTCACTGCTGCAATGAAGATGCCTAAGGCCTAGACACTGTAACATACTCAGTTAAGTTTTAGGTGACATAAAAAGTCATAATTCTGAGAAGTCAAATTCTTAAGAATAACTGGATTGTGATACTCCATGAATTAGAAATAATTCCCTTTCGGCAATGAATTGTTTTAATATGAGACTATTTTAGTCACCTAGCTTTTTTTTTTTTTTTTTTTTAATAACATTAAGGAATTTCTATTTTAACAAGTGGAACAAGTCTGCTGTTTTTTAAGTGATAGGCAGATAATCAGCCTACATAGACATATACGTAAATCCTTTTTACTTTTTTTTTTGTTCTGGTTTTCGGTTACCTCCACCAAAAAGCTGAGACAATGTATGGTAGTTATAAACTTAATTGCTCCTTTTAGGCTGCATCAATGTTAGCATATTTTACATACTTTTTGGCTTTTATACTGCATGGGTGAATAGTCAACGAGCAAAATCTTTAAGAATCAGGGAATTTTAGTTGCTTTTTCTTTATATGATAACAAGAATTGAAATAATTTACATCTTGAAGCAGTATTCACAAATTCAGGTTTTCAGTAGTGGGTTTTTTGTCTGCATGAACCACAACGCTGAAAACATGTTGAATATTCCTGGATAAACATATTCCACACAAATTTTAACAGGGCATATATATATATATATATATATATATATATTTTTAAGTGTTTTCTGTACAGGGTGTCATTGATCATCACATGAATTATACAGAAAGCCTCTAGCATCTGTATCACCAAGTATTTAATTTTTCAATTGATGCAGAAATAGAAATACAGCTGTATCTCAACACTAGCAGGCTTTGGGGAAATGCCAAGAAAGCTTTTTTCCTTAAATTGTCATGAATACTCACTGCGAGGAGACACATGCACACATGCTTCCCAAAACAGCTCAGCAGAGAGTATATTAACAATAGTAAGGCAATTCCTGATAAGACAGGAAAATGAAAAAGAAAATTCTCATTTCTTAATTTCCTAATTTTACTTATGTTCATTTTGGGACTTTCCCAAAACCCAAATTAAGCTTAATTGAAGTAAGAAATTTTCCATTGGCTTACTCCCTCGCAATAATTTTGGGGTTGATTCTCAGTTAGCCTATAAATGCTAGCAGCTTCCATTACCTAATTATCTGAAAATCATTTTTCTTCCCGTGCTTCCTAACACTGAAGAACGTTCTTTTACACATGTTCAAAAC